CTAATTCTTCAGGCCCCTGCCCTAAACCCTAAACCCTAAACCCTAAACCCTAGACCCTACAGTGTTTCTTCAAGGGTTCCGGCAGGCAGCAAAGGGGTGCACTTCCAGTCTGAGGAGGAGGCTCTGGAACCAGCAAAATGAAGGGTTGAGGGTTTAGGGTCTAGGGTTTCGGGTTTAGGGTTTAGGGTTTAGGGCTTCGGGTTTGGAGTTTGGAGCTTGGGGTTTCTGGCCTCACGAGGTTGACCTGGAGTATATTCTTAAAGAAGGTATGGGCCCAATCCTTGGATAACCGTATACCACAGACTCTACAGAACTTTGAAGGTTCATAGGGCCCAGTTCCCTAAGCCAACCTTTCGCGCTCGGAGGTTGGGTTTCAGGCTTTTCCAAGGTTTAGGTGCAGCTCCTTAGTGCTAAGGGGTTCAGGAATTCACTACTATTTGCTTAAGAACCTCCCGAAAACTATGAAACAATGATCCCTATACTGCCCGTAGTAGGGAGAACAGAATTTTGTGTTTTTTGGGGTTCTGAAGCAAATAGTAGTTTAGGGTTTAGGGTCGATTGAATGTATTCAGGTTTCAGGACCGGGGAAAGTTTCGAGAAGGCTTGAAGAGTTTCAAGTTAAACCCCAAACCCCAAAGCCTGGGGCTTTGCGTTGTTGAAGCCCAATACACCTAAGTCCATGCGCGTTAGTTCTTAGTAGTATATGGTGCTTTCTCTAAATTCTGCCTTTTGGGGTCCTTGTTCTGAGGCGGCCCCTCTTATTTAGGGTACCCCAAAAAGGGACCCTAATTTGGATAATAGAAATACGCATACCGATTTGCGCCCTCAAGGTGACCAATCCATTTTGCCCATAATAAGTGCATGAGCCCCACAAGGGACTTGAGATTAAATTCAGGGGCTGCGGACAAAGCGTTTCTTGTCCTTCGCCGACCTGCTGTGGGGGAGTTTAGGGTTTAGGGTTTAGGGTTTAGGGGTTCTCCCTCTGCGCATCAAAATGTCAGCTCGGGTCTGGGCATGGGCGGCCTGTCATGGAAGTCAAAAGTTGCCCCTTGCCGGGATAGCCCCAGCAACAGCAAGGGCAACTGCAGTCATGTGTTCATGGCCGACTTTCTGAGCCCTAAACCCTAAACCCTCAACCCTCAACCCTCAACCCTCAACCCTAAGCCCTAAGCCCTAAGCCCTAAACCCTAACCTGGGGGTGCCCACACTCTGCTGGTACAGGCGCCAGCAACAGCAACGGCAACCGCAGTCATGTGCTAGTTCATGTGCTCATGGCTGACCTTCTGAACCCTAAACCCTAAACCCTAAACCCTAAGCCCTAAACCCCTAGACCCTAGACCCTAAACCCTAAACCCCCTAAACCCTAAACACACAGAAAGCTGACGAAAGGTCCTGGAGCCGGCAGACTGCGAGGCCCGGTGCCGAGAGCAGTCCAGCTGTCTCTTCTTCTGGCCCCAAGGACGCATTTGGAAGTCGTTTTGGCGGGGGGGGGGGGGGGGTGGGTTGGGGTTTAGGGTTTCTAGGGTTTCGGGTTTCGGGTTTATGGTCTATAGGGTTTAGGGTTTAGGTGGAGGACTTGGGACCCACAGGAGGTTTGAAGGCGCCAGCGGTGCTTTCCTTCAATTAGGGGTTTTGGGCCTGGGCCAACAGCCCGGTTCACCCTCGAAGTCTCTGAGATATGTAGGCCCCCAGAATCCCCAAAAGCCCCCCCCCGGAAGCCTTGAGGTTTAGGGTTTAGGGTTTAGGGTTTAGGGTTCCCAAAATTGAGGCACGGATCGCAACATGGTGCTGCAACCTGCCGCCGCCCAGCCGTGATTTGCTTCTTTTTTGGGGTTAAGGGTTTAGGGTTTAGGGTTTAGGGTTTAGAGTTTAGGGTTTAGGGTTTAGGGTTTAGGGTTTAGGGCGGCATTGGAAGTTGTCATGGGGACCGGGGCCTGCAAGCGCCTGCAAGCCTTGCCCTAAACCTTAAGCCCTAAACCCTAAACCCCAAACCCCCAAACCCCAAACCCTAAACCACAAACCCCTATAGCCCTGAAGCCTAGAGAGGCTCAACAGTTCCGGGAAGAAGGTTCTCAGTTTAGTGTTTCGGGCTTAGGGTTTAGGGTCTTTTCTCTGAATCTTGAAGTTCTGAAGCAACCTAACCGTTCTTTGTGGTACCCGTTCGCATGGTTAATTAAAGGACAGAGGGTTCCTTTGGTTTGTATTCCGAGGCTAGCTAGGGAAGCCCGAGCCCACAATGAAGCAGGCCGCTGTGGAGAATCAGCGTTGCTCTTGGGATTTGGGCACGAGCAGTGTCACCCCCAACCCTAAACCCTAAACCCTGCAACCCCTACAAAGCCCTGAGCCCTCAACTCTAAAAGCGAACCTGCATCCCACCAACCCTAAGCCACCAGATCCCCAAACCCTAAACCCCCTATAATTACTCCGACTCCCACCTCGAAACCTCTAAGAAAAACCCGAAACCCCACAGAGTCTCCCCCAAATCCCGATAAGCCCTTAAAACCCCATGAACCCTGTAAACCCTAGAATCCCCAATCCCTAAACCCTTAAAAAGCCCAAACCCAAAACCCAAAAACCCAAAGCCCTAAGCCCTAAACCCCCTACGAGCTCTTTTCTCTGGACAACCTACACGCCCTGCAAGCTTTATGAACCTATAAACCCTACCTTCAATCCTAATCCCGAAGCACTAAACCCCTAAACCCCTAAACCCTATAAACCCCTAAACCCCTAAACCCCTAAACCCCTAAACCCCTAAACCCCTAAACCCCTAAACCCCTAAACCCCTAAACCCCTAAACCCCTAAACCCCTAACCCCTAAACACTAAGCCCCTAAACCCCAAAGCCCTACACCCAAAACTCACATACCTAAAAAACCCTAAACCCCAACGCCCTAAACCCTAAACCCCAAACCCACACCTAGACCCTAACTTACAAACCCTAAACCCTAAGCCCTACCAACCCCTAAACCCCAGACCCACAAACCTAACACACCCTAAACCCTAAGCCCTAAACCCTAAACCCTAAACCCTAAACCCACCTGAAGGCTTGTTCACCGGCTGCGACAACCTCGTCCGGGAGTTCAGCTTGGAGGGCGACCTCAAGGAGTCTCTGCTTAACAGAAGTTGTAGGGTTTAGGGTTTAGGGCTTAGGGTTTAGGGTTTAGGGTTTAGAGGTTTAGGTTTAGAGGTTTAGAGGCTTAGAGGCTTAGAGGCTGAGAGGCTTAGAGGTTTCGGGTTTAGGGGTTTTGGGGGTTTAGGTGTTCGGGGTTTTACTGTAGGGTGTAGGCTTGACGGTCGAGGGTGGTTAGGGCTCAGGATATAGGGTTTTGAGGGTTTTAGCGCGCAAAAGCGTTTAGGGTGCGAAGGGCTTGGGGGTTGGACATTGCTTTACAGGTATAGGGTGCCACAAGAGTTTTGCGTTTTTTCGGGGTGGGAGGGGGGGGGGGGGGGTTGAGATGTAGGATAATTAGGTGTTGGGTTAGGGTGGGGGGGGGGGGGGGGGGGGCGGGTGGAACCCTAAACCCTAAACTCTTATAAACCCTAGCAGCCAGGATACCTAGCTTGTTGGCGGTACCCTCTGCTACCTCAAAAGCTTTTAAAGGAGTTGGGGTTCGGAGTTCTGCACCCTTCCAGATCGGTTGAGAATCAGGGTTTAGGGTTCAGCGAGTTTAGGGTTTAGGGTTTAGGGCTTAGGGTTCAGGGTTTAGGGTTTAAGGTTCAGCGAGTTTAGGGTTTAGGGTTATGCAAGGGTTTAAGGCAGCGTCGGATCTTTGGATGAGGGCACGCAACTGGCGATTGCGAAGCTCTGCGCCTTTGTCATTCCACACGCGCCGCTTGTCAAACAACGACAGAAACTTTCACAATGCGAGCCTCGTACCCGAAGCCCTAGAAAGCCCGAAGCCGCCACCTTGCTGGTGGGGAAGCTTGTGCTTTGGTCAAAGAAGGCCAAAGACAGTTCCGGGACGCGCACGCTGCCTGAGGGCAGCGAGTGCAGCGCTTGTTACAACATCCGGGTTAACTTCTGGGGGAAGATGGATCAGCAGACCCTCCAGAAGCTTCGAGAGAAGGACCAGAGGTAAGATTTTGGGGCTTGAGGACTACTCTCAATGATCCTTGCGGTGGGGCCCCTTCGACCTGAACTCTAAACCCCAAACCTAAACCCAAAACCCTAAACCCCAAACCCTAAAGCCTAAACCCCGAACCCTAAACCCGCAACTCCAGTTCAACCAAAACCTACTTCCTAAACCCCAAGCCCTATAAACCCTAACCCCTAAACCCCAATATCCCGAAACCCTAAACCCTAGAAAACCACAAAAAGGCGATGCCGCGCGGCCCGAGCTGCAACGTCGCCGATGCGGCGAAATGTTGGGCCACCTCCTTGCGGAGGAGCCGCCCTTAGGCTTTAGGGTTTAGGGTTTAGATACCCTACACCCTGCACCCTTGAGGATTTAGCCCTAACCCTAGTAACGCTCGTAGCCCTAGTAGCTCTAGTAACCCAACCCTAAACCCCAAACCCTAAACCCCGAACCCTAAACCCTAAACCCTAGTAACCCTAAACCCTAGTAACCCTAAACCCTAGTAACCCTAAACCCAGAGTTAGGATAGTTGCATGGTCCCTGAATATGGGAGGGGGACTCCGACAATGAGGATGCCCTGCTGCGGGTCTCCGTAAAGGGGCACAGCCCATTTTGGGAAATGCCCGTGTGGCCCCTTACCTTTATTTACGGGGGCTTTCACGGTTTAGGGCTTAGGGGTTTCTACCCCCAGCCTCGCATGTGATGGGCCAGGAACATTTGAAAGCTCTAGCGGCCCCATGCCTAAGCACTTGCCTCCATACCGTGAACCCTCTCCACGGCCTTAAACCCTGAAACCCATGAAGCCGAAGTTCCCTGAAAGCAATAAGTTTAGGGTTTAGGGTTCAGGGTTTAGGGTTTACAACTAAAAATATAGGGTTTGGGGTTTAGGGTTTCGGGTTTCGGGTTTAGGGTTTAGGGTTTAGAGGAGCTTCCTGACCATGGCCTTCAATCCCGATGGCGAGCGGACCAGTGCGAGTTCGGCCCGCGGACTCGAGTTACCACCCAAGCCCCTTTGCTGAAGGGTTTAGGGTTTAGGGTTTAGGGTTTAGGGTTTAGGGTTTAGGGTTTAGGGTTTAGGGTTTAGCAACCACAAAGATTCCCAGATCGATGCCAGGAGGAAATAGTACCCTGCACTAACCGACGCTACTAGTTTAGACTTCAGGGCATTTAGGGTTTAGGGTTTAGGGTTGGGGGGTGGGGAAGTTCTGGCCCAGACAGCCAATACTGGACAAGCTTTTTATGCGTCCCCTGGGCACATCGCACCTTGAGGACACAGAGCCCCGGGAACGGAATGGGAAGTTGGAGAACAGGATTACAGGACCCCCGATCCCCCCCCCCCCCCACCCCGAATCCTACTTAAGCCTTGTAAGCCCTAAACCCTAAACCCTAAACCCTAAACCCTAAACCCTAAACGCTTGTCAGAAAGAAGCTCGAAGCCAGTTGAGGGTCTTTCAGCAGCCATCTGCAGGCCGGCGGACCCGCCAGCGGATGGCATGTTTGCCTGGTTCAAGCGCCTTTCCGAAACCCTTACTTTATTGGGTTCGTAAGCTACTCTTTGCTTAAGAAGCCCAGATGAATAGAACAAAATATAATCCCTATATTACCCTTGGAAGGATGGGGGTTCTTAAGCAATTAGTAGTTTATCGGGTTCGTAATGGAGGAGGGCTCAAAAGGGGGTTTGTAACCCGGGGTTCCCTAGTACTCCCCACTGCTCCCTAAGGCTCCCTAAGCTTCCTTAACGTTCCCTATGGCAGGCCCTTGGGACGTTTTTTAATTTCCCTCATTGGGTTTAAGAGGATCATAATCAGGAACTGTTCTTCAGAGGGTTTCAAGGGCCATCCTAGTTAAAGGGAGCCATATTCTAGGGGAGAAGGGTTTCGGGTTCCTCGCATATGTAGGGTTTCTAGGGTGAGTTGCCCTCTGCAGGGTCCAAGAATGGCGGGCTAGAACCAAGAATACAGAGTATGTTGACCATGGGTAGTCGTTAGGGTTTAGGGTTTAGGGTTTGGGGTTTATGGTTTAGGGTTTTAGGGTTTAGGGTTTAGGGTTTAGGGTTTAGGGTTTAGGGTTTAGGGTTTAGGGTTTAGGGTTTAGGGTTCAGGGGTGACAGCCCACTCAAGTTCCCAGGAGCCTGAGAGGAATCTGAGAGCAATCCAAGAGCACGCTTAACCGACGCCTTGATACCCCAAAAGTCGTGAGAAACGGTCGGAAGACAAAAACCCTGTACCCCCTAAACCCTAAACCCTAAGTTTTGCCGCAAGAGAGTCTGAGCGGCGGGGATGGCTGAAGAGCCTACGCAGAAAGCCAAACAACCCAGAATGAGCGGTAGAAACAGACTGAACTCTATATAGGGGTCATGAGTAGTGAGTTTGGAGTGGTACCCGAAGGGCATGTACCTCAATATTCCATACTTTGGCCCAGAAGTCCCTAAATAGGAGGTACTTTACTTGGAGGTTCAGGGTACTCAGTAACCCATTTCTAAGTGTAGTGATAACCCACTTATACGCCCCTTAAGTACCCTAATGGGGTTATACGTGGGTTACAAGTACAGTTAGAACTGGGTTACGAAGTACCATACACCTCCAAGTAGGGGTATATTCCAGAAGCTCAGAGTTCAAGCCTAAACCCCAAACCCTGAACCCTAGACCCTAGACCCTGAGCCCTGAACCCTAAACCCTAAACCCTAAACCCTAAACCTTAATGGGGAACGTGGCCATTGGCAAAAAACCGTGGCCATTGGCAAAAAAAACCGTGGCCATTGGCAAAAAAGCCGTGGCCATTGGCAAATTCGCAAATGGCCACGGGAAAGTTGCCAATGGCCACGGCTTTTTTGCCAATGGCCACCAATGTCATTAAGGTTGGTCGCCAAAATAAATGGGTTTTTCGCACCCAATTCGCACAAAATACCCCCCCAACCTTAATGGGGAACGTGGCCATTGGCAAAAAAGCCGTGGCCATTGGCAAAAAAGGCCGTGGCGATTGGCAAATTGGCCACGGGAAAAGTTGCCAATGGCCACGGCTTTTTTGCCAATGGCCACGGCTTTTTTGCCCATGGCCACGGCTTTTTTGCCATTGGCCTTTTTGCCAATGGCCACGGCATGGCCACGGCCCCCATTAAGGTTGGGGCCCAACCTTAATGGGGAACGTGGCCACTGGCCAAAAAGCCCACAGCTTTCCCCACCCACCCCACCCGCCCCCACCCCCCCCCCCCCCCACCACCCCACCCCTCCACCCCCACCCCCCCACCCCCCACCCCCACACTTTCCCTCTTCTGGCCCAGACCCCCATTCTGGGCTTGAAAACCTGGGTCTGGGCCAGATGAAGATGAAGGCTTTGTGGGGCCGGGCAACTTTCCAAAATGAGGCAAAGCAACCATGTGGAAGCCAGGCAGCTCAAAGCGTGCCAAAACAACCGACGAGACGGCCAAAAAGAGGCACGGTCACCGGGGAACTTTAGATCAGCAACCCATCAAGCAAAACAAAAATCAGAATGTAAGCAATCAGTGCCTCAGCAAGCCCCTTCTTAGTCTTTCTCATCTTGAGTGGTTCGAGGGTGGGGTGGGGAAAAGCCATAAACAGAGGTAAACAAACAAAAAACATGAGGTTAACAAAATTAGGTGTTTCTTCTTTTGGTGCGACTGAAAGTTCCTCGGTGACCGTGCCTCTCTTTGGGCTCCTGGACCCTGGACCGCTCCATGACAGAGTCCCCCATCCCCACTCCCTTCTGTCATGGCGGGAGCGGTCAAGAGAGCAGAGAGAGAGAGAGAACGAATACGAGCGGAATGAATACGAGCAGAACGACAACGAACACGAGAGACGAGCAGAAAAGAACGAATACGAGCAGACTGAATACGAACAGAAAGACAACGAACATGAGCAGACTGAAATCGAGCAGAGAGAGAACGAATACGAGCAGCAAGAGAACGAATACGAGCAAAATGAATATGAGCAGAAAGAGAACGAATACGAGCAAAATGAATACGAGCAGAGAGAGAACGAATACGAGCAGAATGAATACGAGCAGAGAGAGAATGAATACGAGCAGAGAGAGAGAGAGAGAGAGAGAGAGAGAGAGAGAGAGAGCGAATACGAGTGGAATGAATACGGGCAGAAAGAAACGCATACGAGCAGAATGAAAACGAATACGAGTAGAATGAATCAAATGAGGTTGAGGGACAGGGCTTTCTGATACACAAATGAGAACTTTAGATTTCTTAATGTGTTGGGATTCTCTGGGTGGGTGGGTTTTTTTCTAGAATCGAAACAACGGCTCTATTAGAGATTGCTCGACCCGGAGCTGCTGAACCCTAAACCCTAAACCCTAAACCCTAAACCCTAAACCCTAAACCCTATACCCTATACCCTATACCCTAAACCCTAACCCCTAAACCCTAAACCCTAAACCCTAAACCCTAAACCCTAAACCCTCTTAGTCCTAAGCCTTAAGCCCTAAACCCTAAACCCTAAACCACCGAGGAGCGAGAACGCGGGATCCGTTTGGCCCAGCTCCGTGGGCGACTTTGTTGGCCGATGCAGCTTGAACTCCGTCTTCCGGACAGTTTCCTTCCAGGGATACTTGGAAATCGTTTCCTATGTTTTTGGGTTTAGGGTTCGGGGTTTAGGGTTTAGGGTTTAGGGTTTAGGGTTCTTTAATTCCTAAGAAACAGCTAAAATTTCAAGTTTGCTAGGGTTCCACGGTTCAGTATAGTTTCTAAGTGGGGCCCTTGGGACATGTTCTATTTGTCCCCCTCTTGTGCTTAGGGCTTAGGGCTTAGGGCTTAGGGCTTAGGGCTTAGGGCTTAGGGCTTAGGGCTTAGGGCTTAGGGCTTAGGGCTTAGGGCTTAGGGTTTAGGGTTTAGGGTTTAGGGTTTAGGGTTTAGGGTTTAGGGGACGAGGATCATGTGTAGGAACATGCTTTTCAAAGAGCCGTCCATATGGCCGTCAGCCGAGGTTTCGGCTGGTCATGGGGCCGACCGTCCGGTCACCAGCATCCGTGGATACAGTTGGTCAGGCGACTGGGAGCCCATCGCCATGGTGCCCTTTTCCCTGGGTTTAGGGTTTAGGGTTTAGGGTTTAGGGTTTGTATATGGACCCTTAATTTGTATAGGGGTATATAGTAGCAGTCCGAAAAAGGTATAAGGGGGAACATCCCGCTTGATACAGACTTCCGTGCAACAGACGCCCCTATCAGGATTCACTTTCGGTGACGTCATTCCCGTCACGCACACCGTGTGTTCCGTCACCCGCTACCATATCTGGCCTAACTCCAAGAAGCGGCAGCGGATACTCCAGTCGGAGAAAAGTTCCAACTGGCTCCATGGCCACTGGAAAGGGAACACCGGCGTTGTTTTTTACAATGGCTGGCTCACACCGGACTCCCGGAACAAGAACGTGGAGGATTGGGTCGTTTTGTGTGGCACCAACGATGCTCAAAGGGCCGTCGACGGCAACAAAACCAATATTGCCACCGGCAGCGGCAAGAAGTTCAGCAAGACTATACCAATGTACGTTACTGGTTCATTGTTGAGAAATCATTTGCATTCGTTTATGAAGACTTAAAAGCCCAAAGCCCAATAAGAACCGAGAAATGCTGATGCTGTTTGAAAGTAACCCCGAACAGTGGTGCAGGTTAATCATGGGTACGGAAACGTTGACCCTTTTTGGTTATATAGAACCTTTCTTCACATAAACCCTAAACCCTAAACCCTTTCAGAAAAGGTTATAGCCTTTTTGGGGGCTAGGGTATTCAGCCCTTAAAAGGTTAATCATGGGTACGACGAGCGCTCTGATTTCGACGTCATGGAGGTGATTACCTGGGACAGGGGGCTGTCTCTAGGCCTTTGGGACATGGTTGCTTTGTCGACTAGTGGGTTTAGGGTTTAATGTGAACGTCGCTTTAATAACCCCCCCCCCCCCCACCCCCAAATCTTGTTTTGGTCCCCGGGGTTTGGAGGGCTGGAAAAAAGAGGGGGTGTCAACAATCCGGTCCCCCCCCACCCCCCCCTCGCCGAAATTATTATTGCCACCCCTTTATCATTGTCATTTTGGAGGCCCGCAAGGGGGTACCCTTTCCGGACTTGTTTCGAGCCCCGCCGGATAAGGATTTTAGTAAGGAAACTTTGCTTTCAGACCTCTGGCGGCTTCCTGAATTCCAGGACCCGAAGGCTGAAGTCTTAAGTTTAAGGGATTCTTATCTGAAGCCTTAGAGGAACACCTGCTTCTCTGAAGAAACAGGCCTGAAGCAGTAGCTTCTCGCAGCTCTGGAGCTGCAGCAATCTCAAAAGACACCTGCTTCTCTGAAGAAGCAGGCCTGAAGCAGCAGTTTCTCGCATCTCTGGAGCTGCAGCAATCTCAAAATGACACCTGCTTCTCTGAAGAAACAGGCCTGAAGCAGCAGTTTCTCGCAGCTCTGGAGCTGCGGCAATCTCAAAAGACAAGCAAACTCAAACGAGATCTGCTTCTCTAAAGACTGAGCCTCGGAGCTCTTTCAAGCCAGCTCAGCTGAAAAGTCTTCTCTGCAATGGAACTCTTAAGCCATTTTCAGTAAAATGTTCGATTCCTGGCCGGCCAAAAGACTGAGCCTCGGAGCTCTTTCAAGCCAGCTCAGCTGAAAAGTCTTCTCTGCAATGGAACTCTTAAGCCATTTTCAGTAAAATGTTCGATTCCTGGCCGGCCAAATTTTACTGTTGTCACCCCATTATTATTCTCACCGGACCCCCTATATAGACTTGTTTACACACATCAGCCCGAAAACCTCCCGTAATGGAAAGTAGTCTTGGGCTGGGGCCCTGTGGCCCGGCGAGTATTGGTGTTACCACCCTAAACCCTAAACCCTAAACCCTAAACCCTAAACCCTAAACCCTAAACCCTAAACCCTAAACCCTAAACCCTAAACCCTAAACCCTCATTTAAAAATGGCCATCCGAGGTCTGAGGAGGAGATGCGGGCCACCGTGGACTACTTGAATTGGAAGCTCAGGGTGGGTGCCGTCCTTGAGGTCTCTGAGCCTTGGTAGCCCAGGGTTTAGGGTTTAGGGTTTAAGGTTTAGGGTTTAGGGTTTAGGGTTTCGGGTTTAGGGTCAGACCCTAAACCCTAAACCCTAAACCCTTTTTTTCCTTTTTTCCTTTTTTGGGGTTCAAGGTCCCCTCACAAAGCAGCCAACCCCCCCAAAAAAGGGTGCGCCCTTATGAGAGAATATGGTTGCTGGGCTACGAAGGAGCACCTGTCCACGGAGTTACAGCATAACTTCGACTCCTTCGGCACGCAACTGCTGCTAGGACCCAGACATAGTCATAGTTGGGTAACATTTTACATGTTTAAGGGTACTTAAAGCCAATAAGGAATATACAGTTTAATTTTGTTTATACTATCCCAACCATGAACTAGCAGACTAGACCCTTATTCCCTTGTTTCAGGGTTTGGGTTCCCTTATAACCCCCTTGAAAGAAAGGGCACCCTTTTTAATTCCTAGGTTACTCCTGGGTCTAGGCTGGACAACGTGCAGTCACAGAAGTTCGACGTCACCTTGGCAAACGGCTACAAGGCAGAGTTGACAGGCTGGACACATACCCGGGACTACGCGCGCGGCTTTATCCGAACCCTCAGCGGCCCAGCCACAGCAGTTGTCAACGGCTTGTCGCCAGCAGCTCAGTACATCTACCAGATCCCTAGTAGCTGAATGAGCACACTTTATAGTTTTTGGGGACGCCAGAATCCCCTGTAAAACTGAAAGTGTACACCTTTCTGGGGGGCTTATGAACTCAGCAACTAAGGATCTATATGGTTCATGAGAAGTCGAATTGGGAGGGTGAAGCCAAGATCTCCGTGAACCACGGGGTAGAGGCGAGGGTTCATCAGAATGAAGTTAATGAGGCCAGGTTTGCAGGCGTGGCAACGGCGACTCCCCAGGGGCAGCTCCATCTCGAGTTCCAGAACCTTGGAGACCAAGTGAGCCTTAAAGTTAAGTTCATATAACCGTGTATACTACTGTACATATTTATTTACATATATGTATATACATTATAGTTTATATAATCCTATTAAGGTAACATATTGACCCATGAAATCCTGTTAAAGGGTGCCTGCGCTCCCCAAGGAAGATCTCCCCTCATGTCCACCTCTCCGGCATCGCCATTGCGAAGGTGGGATCCCCGACGCGGATTTCGAAGCCAGCAGACCCACCCTCCCAGGGCATGTTCGCATGGTTCAAGAGCCTCGGATGGGGTTTAGGGTTTAGGGTTTAGGGTTTAGGGCTTAGGGTTTAGGGTTTAGGGTTTAGGGTTTAGGGTTTGCATGGTTCAAGAGCTTCGGCCGTCTTGGTGGCCCAGTGGTGCCCCATGTGCCCTTTTTTGTGGGTTGAAGGTTCCCTTTGTAAAGTAGCCAACCCACAGCAGGGTAACAATACAAGCAAATAAATTAGATCAATTATACATATATGTATCTATATATGTATGGTTCCCAAAGAGCCCAACATCCCTTAATTAGGGATATCTTGCTTAATTTATATAGGGATCCTTAACATGATTTAAGGTATATTCCTTAGTTAAGAGGTATTGGACTCTTAGGGTTCCTGGGCTACCAAGATGTGACTGAGCATAGGCTGTACGCCGACGTGCTCATGCAATTGCTATTGGCAGCATCATGTTGAAGCAAATTTCCCGGGGGCAGAATGAGAGTCGTGTTCCCCTAAACCCTAAACCCTAAACCCCAAACCCTAAACCCTAAACCCCAAACCCTAAACCCTAAACCCTAAACCCTAAACCCTAAACCCTAAACCCTAAACCCTAAACCTAAACCCCAAACCCTAAACCAAGAAGGAGCGAGCATGCCGGAACCGTGTGGCCCAGCTCCGTGGGTGGCTTCGAGGGCCGAAGCAGCCGAAACTCCGTATTCCGAACGGTTTCTAGGTAGGCCCTGCTTGGGACATGTTCCGTTTTTCCCTTTCTTGGGTTTAGGGTTTAGGGTTTAGGGTTTAGGGTTTAGGGTTTAGGAACGAGGATCATGTGGCCGTAAGCCGAGGTTTCGGCGGGCTACGGGGCCGACCGTCCCGTCACCAGCATTGAGGGAACTGCTTCGTCCGGTGACTCAGAGTTCCAATGGACCCTTTTTTTGTTTAGGGTTTAGGGTTTAGGGTTTAGGGTTTAGGGTTTAGGGTTTAGGGTTTAGGGTTTAGGGTTTAGGGTTTAGGGTTTAGGGTTTAGGGTTTAGGGTTTAGCATCACTCATCAACCGTTTGTCTTAAGAGACCTGCCACGCAATGCGTGTGTGCGCCAGGGCGCACGCTCTGCTTGAACTTAGCCACCGTGAACCCTGAACCCTAAACCCTGGACCCTTCAAGCGCTTGAAACGACGGACAAAGCAATTCATGGTTGGATAGCTTCCTGTGAGTGCGAGTCTTTTTGAGCATGTGCGTCTGTGTGTGTGTGTGTGTGTGTATCTGTGTCTGTGTCTGTGTCTGTGTCTGTGTCTGTGTGTCTGTGTCTGTGTCTGTGTGTCTGTGTCTGTGTCTGTGTGTGTGTGTGGTGTGTGTGGTGTGTGTGTGTGTGTGTGTGTGTGTCTGTGTGTGTGTCTGTGTGTGTGTGTGTGTGTCTGTGTGTGTGTCTGTGTGTGTGTGTGTGTCTGTGTGTGTGTGTGTCTGTGTGTGTGTGTGTGTCTGTGTGTGTGTGTGTCTGTGTGTCTGTGTGTCTGTGTGTCTGTGTGTCTGTGTGTCTGTGTGTCTGTGTGTCTGTGTGTCTGTGTGTCTGTGTGTCTGTGTGTGTGTCTGTGTGTGTCCGTGTGTGTGTGTCGGTGTGTGTGTGTCTGTGTGTGTGTCTGTGTGTCTGTGTGTCTGTGTGTCTGTGTGTCTGTGTGTCTGTGTGTCTGTGTGTGTGTGTGTGTCTGTGTCTGTGTGTGTGTGTGTCTGTGTCTGTGTCTGTGTCTGTGTCTGTGTCTGTGTCTGTGTCTCTGTGTGTGTGTGTGGACCATCTGTATCTAAGATGTGAAGTTATGGCTGAACACTCATTGATCCCCCTGAAAGCTGTGCATTGATTCGTCGCACTGAAGTGATCTGATTTATCTGATTCCCCAAAAGAAAGCCGAGATGTTATGTCAAGCAGGGGGGTGCTGGAGAGATTTGCAGTCAGCACCCAATGAAGACGCTGCATATCTCTTGTGATACCATTGCAGACGTGCAATGGCGTACCTGCGAACTTCGAGGAATTTTCCCAACCAGCTTCGACTGGGTATGTGTGTGATTCCCGACAGTAATTCTGCCAAAGCGCTGTCGGACTCACGGCCTGCGTGAGAGAATTCAAGCTCTGAATGCATGCTGAAGCAGATTTCCAGGGCTCAAGACCTCCCAGATACGAAAAGACCTTCAGCCTCAGACCATCCTCTAGAGTTTTGACATATGACGTACCCAATTTGAAGATGATGTCATCACATTGAGATTAGTCGAACAGCTTACATGACTTTATCTTGAGCGTCCTTCTGAATGCACCCTGAGTCGCAGGACGACATTGAACGACATCACATCCCTCTGAATACAACCTAAGTCACTGGACGGTATACTGTAATATCATGCCGTGAGTTCACCCAAATTAGTACGTACACATTTGCAGCAATGGACTGTCGTTTACACATTCATGTGCACCTATCTGGACGACATCGATCCAGAAGCAGGCACCGCAGAAGAGACTGCACAAGACATCGTACAAGAAGACGCAGAACTTCGTCATCCAGTAGCTCCAGTTCTAGCCCTAAACGAACGGCCAATGTTCTTGATGCATTCTCAATGGGTATGCCTCCTGGTACTTGGAACCGCCCGGGCACTTGGAACAATCCTATGGCAAGCAGTTCTTCGTCGTATCCTGTCAGACAAGAATACCCAATTAACATGGTACCTGGCAGATTTCCCAATAGTCTCGCTGCGATACAAGACAATCCTCCGGCACCCGTACGACCATCAGTACCTTTGAGTACGCAAAGGCCGACGCTGACGTCAGATTTTTCCCACCCAGATGCTTTTAGCATAGTGCAACTGGTGCAAAATCGTATTCCTTTTCCTGGAGATACCTCAGCAATAGGCCAGTACACGGACATGTTCTATGAGATCAACCAAGCACAACAATGGCCTGTAGAGCGTCCTGCACCTTTGATGGGCACGATTCCTACCAAGCCGACGTCATCCATTTGGGTTTCTGTTCCTTTCGACCAGGTTAAGACCATTGTCCTGCGCAGAAAGTGGATTGAGCCGCTTTATCGACTGGTCAATGACGTTACGTTGGAGAATTTCAGAGTTCAGCGGGACTGTCTCTTTCATCTGTTGCAACAAAACGGCCCGATTACCAAGATGAATCAGCAGACTTTGGCAGTGTTCCTCAACGCAGTCATTGTCAATAGATTGCAGATCTACGACTTTGTAGATCATGCTCGATGCTTTCATGTGAATGGTGTCAACATGTGGTTCCTGAGAACAAAGAATTTTCCAGGCCCGCTAGAAGAAGCATTGACTGGTCACAATTATGCCTGGTGCCATGTTTGCGGATTGGATACCGTTCTAGGTGTTCTTCGTTGCGGTGTGGTACTCCCCACCACTAGTGATGGCATACAGCTGGATCCTAACCTGCCTTTGACTGGTTTCTTTGGCCGTGGGCAACAATGCGATGGCGACCCTTGGCAATGTGCAACTCAACTAGCAATCAAATGTCATGCTCATCCCAAAAACGCCTATGGGATTTCAGTTGGTGGGATTTTGAGAGGGAACCACGTGCTTCCCGATAGATCCAGTACCTGGCTTGAGGAATTCATTTGCACTAGGTCCGGCATCGTTAAATCCAAATCAACAGATCGTCGATGGTGTTTCAGATGCGACTTAGCGTCCATCCAGTTCATTTGTCTCACCCACAAAGCAGATGACAGCAGCTCGATGTGAAATTGACCTATTCACCATATCTGTTTCTGCACTCACCGACAGTGACTAATTCTATGTAGTGCTTACAAATTTCGTTCTACGTTTAGGCCTCTTCTTATTCGGTTTACATTTAGACCCCGCCACGCGCTCTACCGTGGAAGAGAATGATGAAGTCACTGAAGTCAGCAAAGAAGACATGTAGCGTCAACTTATTGAAGAGTCTCATAGCAAGCTTCTATTCCCAAAAGCTAGGCGACGTTCTGCAGGGGCCCCATGTTTTTTTCCAGCAAGAACCGATTGAGCAGAAGTCCTCGATCAAAGTATCTCCACAGTCTAGTTCGAGGAGCAGTTCTCATCCTCACAAAACAACAGCACCTGCCCCAAAGCAAGTGACTAGGCCTCCATGTCTCACCCCTTCTGCTGCAACAGTAAAGCGTCGCCGCGCGCTAGATCCTCAGAAAACCAGTTGTAGAGCGGCTGAAGGTTGAGACTCCTTCTTGTGTAAACAGCAAAGGAAAGAAAACGATGCGCGCCCGCATCGTTTTCTTTCTTTTGTTGCTTCTGTTATGGCTTGCGGTGACCGTCATAGAGTCATAGACCCCGGGAGTACCCAACTTTCACCTCCGTGTGTTTTGATATCTAAATAGCAGCCATGCGCACTCTTGAAGCAGTTTGGTTCCAGCCGCATTTTTCCAACCTAGCCTCATCATGTCGTGGAAATCTTGGGACCAATGGCAGCCTTCTCGAGATTGGGATCGTTCGCAATGGCAATCAGGGGGTTGGAACATGCAAGATAGTTCGTGGAGTTCGACCCCAACTAAGTCCAATGTCCATCGTGAGCCTGGTCGAGACTTCAGTTCCCCTACAGGCTTCCCAGTGATTCATGGGCTACCTGATGACTTCAAGAGTACCAAAACTCATCTTGACAGTCGGGAAGTGTTTGGTAAGACCATGTTACGCCGAATTGCTCCAACGTCTTGGTCTACCAAATACCAGTTGGCCGGAAAAAAGAGATGGACAGCATTCGACTTGTAGATCTGCTTTGGCGAGGTTGGAACAACTATCACTTGAGAGCGCTTTCGCATGGCCAGTATGTTTCACTCGTTGTTGCGCGAAAGGTCAACGAAAGTGTTTTTTCGTCTAGCATTCTCACCCATTTGCGAGAGAATAAGTGGGACATAGATGAGTTGGCCACTCAGTTTGCTCGTTTGCACCCTGAAGCTTGCCCCAATGCTTCCTCAAACTCTGATGAGCACAAAGCCATCAAGGCCCAAGCGTTAGCCAAGTTTCTTGTGCAGCAGCTCCAACAATTTGTTGTCTCTTCAAACAGTCAGCCCAGCGATCTTCAGAAGATTGCCCAACTGGAAGAACAGCTCCAGATGGAGAAAGCTAAGAACGCCAAGCGAGGTTTGGAAGAGCCCGAACCATCTCCTTCCGAGAAGCGTGTCCGTTTGAAGCAGAAGACCGCTTTGCCAATTGTTTCTTCGTCAGCTCCACAATTTGATCCTGCAGTCATTGCTCGACAAGCTGTTGACCCTTCCAACATCCCCAAAGATCGTGTTTTTGCCCAGGCCAGCCTTTCCTCAGTTACCAAGACAGCCATTGAAAAATGGCTCAAGAGCCTCAAAGGCAAAGACAAAGGCAAGGCCGAACAGTTGGATGCCGCGATTTCGTTTGCAGACAAGATCAGCAACACGATTGATGCTGCTACGTTTCAAGCACTTCGTGACAAGTGTGCTCAGTTGGGACTGCCTGTCAGTCTCGCTGTAAAGATCAAAGCGCCTGAGCTCATTCGCATCTTGACAGCTGCGACTTTCGTAGCAGAGATCTGACTAGGCGTCATTTCGTGCCAAGAGTCCTGCGACTGGAACATTTTGAGACTTCTCCTTTCGGCCTTAGCCGTTATTCATGCTTGCTGTTTCCATTCTGATGAGCTTATAGGATTCAGATTTTGTACTCGTGTTCTACAAGTCTTCTTGTGTGCAACGGCACTACATTCGCATCCTGGAGTTTCGTGCACCATTCGCACCTGGAGAAGAAGGACCAGTCATTTTGTTGGTAAGACCTTGGTACAGATTGCAGACATGATGTCAACTCCATGTTCCACCTACGTAGTGGTTCTACCTGCACTTCAGCGCAGACAGTGGACAAAAACCGGAAGCCTGCTTGATGCGAAGAAGTTTTATGTGG